TCCGTTACTAATCTACAAATTAATTAATGCATGCATGCATATATAAATTATTTTATACCTGCTAATTGCTCTGCTCGCCATTTTTCGTTAAAATATATAAATGAATACCAGCTCTATCTATCCATAAAGCAAAGAGTGAGATTAATTTAGTTTATATAACTACTGATTTCTAGATGATAAACTTATTAGTATAAATTAATCAGATTGACATTGTAGTAAAACTTTTACCATCCCAACACATTTGAAGATGTTTACTCGTATATGTAAAATTATACAATTTTAACATTAATAATATAGACAAGTAATATATAACAAATAACTTGATTGAAAATGAAGAAAACCATTCCATTCCAAACCAGTCCATTAAATAATCCTAGTTAAAATCTTGGGGTAAATTAAATGTAAACAAGGATATCCCACATCTACAAAATATAAATCTTTTTTATATAAAACTTCAGTGTGTTTGTGTTCGTAATTCTTCTCCGAATCTCCCCGGTAGACCGATTTTATCGACATTTTTATGGAGTAAGTACCTATGGGATCACTTGGATGTTTTTAAGTTATAGATGTTCCTGGCAGGTTTTAAGATGTATTTTATGTATGGTGGCTACATAAAAAGAGTTTTTGAACACGTTAATGAATAATATCTATAATGAAGACTGTTTTAGTAAGATGTTAGTGCAGTCACAATAAACCAATGCACGGGAGCAAAATGATAAAGTACGCTATTGGAGCAGCAAAAGGAGAGTTTAGTTTGATTCTCTGCATCGCGATTATTTCAAATAATTTACCATTTTAATCTAGAACGCTACAATTCCTATGAAAGTTAGCACAATTAATAAGTTACAGAGACAGACAAAGTGGTAGTTTATCATTTGGTCACATTGTGCTGTCTACATGGTCAGATGAATATTTTCTCTTTGAGTGTATCGAGCGCAAAAACTTGCATGTGCTAGCGAAAAATAAGAAATCACACAAAGTGGCTTACAGATCAATTTATCTTTAAATAGGGAGGTAATTTACTACAATGTGGGCAACTTTAAGCGCACTTCAAATGTCCATGCGTCCTTTAAATATCCTTCATTCTTGCCATTCAATCTGTATCATCAGTATTTCGGTAAGTTATTATTTTGATCTCCTAAACCTACCACACTTGGTTGATAAGTTAGTGATAAATAATAACATTACATTAATCTAGTTATTGATGTAACATACCGTTACATCAATAACTAGATTAATGTAACGTGTCATAAGCAATTTGTACTCCACGCAAGAGATATCGTAGACAGTAACTTCTTAAAATGATGTTATTCAATGTTAGGTAGTAGCAACAATAATATCATTTCCGACTACTACGCGGACAAAGTTGTGGACAAAGTTGCGGACAAAACTGAAAAGATGAACATACGAGTAGACTGTGATTTAAAGGCATTTTATAGCCTAACTCAGACACCAGCTCCTCACATATACTAGACTATGAGTATGAACTTACCTGTATTTAAATAGATATAAATTTTATTATGTATTGTCTGTTTTTGTGAGGAGAAATAAACATTATTATTATTATTATTATTATTATTTAAATGATGTTTTCTGACCTCGGGCAAAAGCTTGTTCATTATTATTCATTTGTATTTCATTATTCATTACAGCCTGTCGAAAATACACTACTAAATACAGGCGTCACCCATAGATTCATAGAGGGGGGGGGGGGGGGGGGGGGGAATGATATTTGTCATAGTTACTGCGCGTTATCCTTCTCCTGCTTCAATTTTCATTTGTCACCTGTTACGACACTCAAGGAATGAAATGGATCAGATTGATACGGTGTGGTGAATTCTCTTACGCTACTATAGTATTCATGAAAGTAGATCTAGTGGTCGTAAGCATCATATTATGTCAGTCAATGAGGGCTAATAATTTTCTGATCACCGATGTCGCTAGTTGACACTGCGATAAAGTTTTTGTTACACAATGTAATTTAATTGAGAAGTTGTTTTTTAATAAAAGTTTATCAGTTTCTAGAGTATTATATTAATACACAAAACAATGTTTCAGTGGCTTGCTCTTTAATTTTTGCACATATTTAACTTTATACCTTAATATATAACTTATTACTCATAGATTATCATAATAGAAGGCTATATAATAATTTTGATGTTCACCAAAGGAAATGAAAGAAAAAAAAGTAAAGAAATTATGAGAAAATCTCTATTAATAAGGCGTACTTCCAAATATATAGTGAAACTATGTCGCTTTGTTATACCAAAGTAATTGGAGAAATCTGTAAGTCTCACTTTTTAGGCCCCAAACATGGGCATTTGAAACGCCATCCAATCGCGTTTGACTAAGTGCATTGCCCGATGGTGTGAGGTGACGTGCGCGCAGCCGGGAGGGGTGGGGGGGGGGGGGGGGGGGGGGGGGGCAGCGGGATGCCGCTTCCCATCGTAAGGCCTCGTGAGTGCGAAGTCAATAGCTTGACAGCGGCGGTGCGGTGGATTAGCGTATTTAGGTGACCGCTGCATCTATTTCGCGCGACCAGTTTTTGAGTTTTGTGGTCTAGAATTTGAGTCTTTGTGCGCGTTAATTTACTATTGGAGTTTTTCGCTTCTAGTTTTGGTTATCTTAAGTGCGTTCACGCGATAACGAAGCGGTAATATTTTGATTGATTAACCTAAAATGTTGGCAAGTAATTTACGTAAATTGTATAGTGATTGCCGGTTGAAGTGCTTGACAATATTATTTTGCGTCGGCGAGTTGCTTTGTGGCATTTGATTCAACTCGGAGATATTTTCCTGTATCGGTTAAAACACTAAACTTTGTGCCCGAGAGAAACGCACAAATCTATAATCTAATACGTGTTCGTACTAGATTATAGATTTGTGCTAAAAGACGCTAGACTTTGAGGGACATCGGGGTGATGCCGCTGGAGGACACCAGGCGGTGCCGGAGTCAGGGCTGCTTCCGCTTAAAAGGGTTAAGTCAGGTTTCAAATTTACACACCACTTAACACCACTTACATACACTACACCTACCGCCTGACCGAGCCTTGTGGCCAGTCGTCGCTTCGGAACCAGGTACGTACTATTTATTTACCTAGTCTTATATCTATTGTGTAAAATAATAAGTCTCCATAGGCCATTGGGCCCCGTCCCTTGTTGCCCGTCGATGGGATTACTCATGGGCCCTAGTCCCGTCAACCTTTGTTGGGGCAGCTAGGGGCGTATACATTTTTGGTGTGTGGTAGTTTTTATATATGTGGCCTGACCCAACTGAGGTGATCGGGCAGCGGCCGGTCCAATGCTGCCCCAGAATGTTGTATCACTCCAGCGGACATCACCAATTGACAACTTCTTTCTTCATTTCACTATTTCAGTCTATCAACTTTATAGTACACTATTTCAATCCATCAACTTTATTGTATAATAATAATTTATCATTTACAATTATATATTTATACAGCCCAACCAGATGAGAAAACTATACAAATACCCCATAATAATAACGACTGACGTAACAGTTAAGTGACAAAACTGCTATGTCAGCGCAGTCAGTCAGCGCCTTGCCAAGAGGTGTGAGCGCCGTGCCTCGGCAGTATTGAGGGTGCAAAGGCCCGTTTGTGCTTACGGCCACACTATTAAACGGCGCCGGGTCTGGGCGTCTCCCGTTAATTGACGCCCAAATTAATGGATGATGGATGAAAATAAAACGCGCATAGGGCCGCTGCCTGGGGGTCGCCGGGGCGCGTCTGGAGCTGGCGCTGGACGTGACAGCATGCGAGCCGCCAGCCGAGCGCGAGGTGCTGCACGACCACCTAGCAGCCCCTCGCGTCCATCATCCCCACCAGACGGCTTGGTGTCGGTGGGGTCCTCTTGGACTCGGCAAGCGGCACCCGCCGCTGGTGGAGTACGCCGCATGCGTTGGACAAAAAATATGAACATTAACGCATTGCGGGCGTACTATAGGGCGAAGGGGGAAGAAATTGGAGGAATAGCGTATCGGGCTCGGATGCATCGCTTTTTTGCTGAGCTTGAGCCGTCAGTTCCCGTCACGGAGCAAAACCTGGCAGACCGAGTTCGGTACATCATACGCTCGAAAATATTTGATGATGCCGAACTCGAACGACTACGGCGTGAGGCTATTCCCTCATCGAATGAACCGGCTATAGCTGGGGATGCGGCTCCTCAGGCCACAGACCAGCAGCCACATATAGAGGGCGCCATGGATCTCCCCGCTCTAGTTGATTCAGGCGATGATAAAATGGTCACCCAAGAACTAGAGCAGATGAGGAGTAAATTGGAGGAGGCGATTGTAGAAACGCGCAGTACGCCTCTCGAAAATCGACCGCGACTCCCGCGCATACCCCTAAGCAAGCGAAATCGGGCTGTCGTGAGGGCTCTCAACCCAACGCTGGTGACCTATTTGGAAGCCAGCCGGGACCTTTGCGAGACGGACTCAATTCTTTTTGGGGCCGCACTGGCAGTTTGCCGTATTGTTGGCGCCAAACTTCCCACGGCTGGACGCTCTACTAGACAAAGTAGCGCCATCCCAGCCTGGAGAAGAAGGATTGAGGACCGTATCGTAAAGGCAAGGGCCCTCATTGGCAGGCTGATAAGCTTCAGGTCGGGCAATAATAGGCCGAGAATTGTGCGCACCGTCAGGTTGGAGTTTGCTGGGACAAATATCAGTTTGTCCCAGCCGGATATAACGCAAAAACTGACGGAGCACATAGACGACCTGAAGCAGAGAATCGCTGCTTGGGGGAAGCGGATTCGGCGATATACCGAGAGGTCGACACGGTTCAACCAGAATCGTCTCTTCCAGAGTGATCAGAAGAGGCTATATAAATCATTGGAGCGACCAATGGTACGTGGAACGGGCCAAGCACCGAATCAGGCCGACACTGTCGCATTCTGGCGCGGCCTGTGGTCAGAGCCAGTAAACCACAGTGAGGGCCTTGGACGGAAGTTGTGGTGAGTCAGTGTGCGAATCTTACGCCCATGGACCCCGTCATTATAACGCCGGACGATGTAGCTGAGGCGGTCCGAAGGGCCCCGAACTGGAAAAGTCCGGGGCTCGACGGGCTGCATCACTACTGGCTGAAGGGGTTCGTGGTGTGTCACGCTGTGCTCGCCCGACAATTTCAAGAGGCTCTCGACCAAAAGTCGCTCCCGAGCCTCTTCACTACTGGGATCACTCATTTGGTTCCTAAAGACCGGGATACCATAGACCCGAGCAAATACCGCCCCATCACGTGTCTACCCACGATATATAAGACACTAACATCCATTTTGAGCGCGAGAATCACTCGTCACCTGAACTCAAATCAGGTGATGTCGCGCGCTCAAAATGGATGTCGGGGCGGTGGTCGTGGAACCAAGGAACCACTCCTCATTGACGCGGTCATTGGCAAAGTGGTTAAACGCAACCGTCGGAACCTCTCCGCCGCCTGGATAGACTACAAAAAGACATTTGACTCGGGTCCTCGAGCTGTACAAGGTTGACTGTACAGTTAGAGACTTCCTCGGGCAGTGTATGGGGCAGTGGAGTACGATCCTTTGTCATCTAGGCGAGCGGATGACGGCTGCGGAGAACCACATAAGGATAAGAAGGGGTATCTTCCAGGGCGATTGTCTGAGTCCAATCTGGTTCTGCCTCTCTCTGAACCTTCTCAGTACCTTACTGGAGGGCTCCGGGAGGGGATTTCAGCTTTGGAGGGGAGGTACAAATGTGACCCACCTTTTCTATATGGATGATCTCAAGTTATTCGCCTCCAGTCGCTCTCATCTTGTGGAATTGCTAAACATCACTTGTGATTTTAGCAATTCTATTGGAATGGGGCTGGGGACGGATAAGTGTGCGGTCCTCCATGTTGAAAGGGGAAGGGTTGCTAACTCCGAGGGCATAGATTTATCTATGCCCATCAACATGAGGACCCTTTCCGAGGCTGAAACATACCGATACCTGGGTATGTCACAGAACATCGGTGTAGATGAGGCGGGCATGAAACAGTCAGTTTGCGATGTGTTTTATGCACGCTTGACCAAAGTGCTTAACAGCCTTTTGTCCGGTGTGAATAAGACGCACGCATATAACGGTTGGGTCATGCCTGTTCTCATATATATACCTTTGGCATACTTAGGTGGACTCAGACCGAACTAAACGCTCTGGACAGAAAAGTCCGCACTATAATGACGTCCCACAGGATGCATCATCCGAGATCGTCAGTAATGAGGCTGTACTTGCCGCGGAAGCATGGTGGGCGCGGCTTTTTAAGCGCGCTTACCATGCATAATTGCGAAGTGTGCAGCCTCCGTAATTACTTTCTGACGAGAGCGGATGATCCATACTATAGGGACGTTATTTCTTGTGATAAAGGACTGACCCCTCTATCCTTAGCCAACGAGCAATGGCAAGACCCAGCAGTACAGTGCATTTCCAACCGGGAGGCCGTATGGAAGGAGAAGGAGCTCCACGGGAGGTTCTACAAGGCTCTACATGAGCCTTTCGTAGACACAGTCGCCTCCCTTCACTGGCTACGTTTCGGTGACCTCTTTGGGGAAACCGAGGGTTTTGTCTGTGCGATACAGGATCAGGTTATTAAGACCAACAATTATCGGAGATACATCCTAAAGGATGGCGCCGTTGACATCTGTCGAGCTTGTCGCCAACCCGGTGAGTCATGTCATCTCCGGTTGTTCGGCGCTTTCTAACTCTGAGTATTTGCACAGACACAATCTAGTAGCCAGGATTCTACACCAGGAGCTCGCTCTGAAATACGGCCTCGTGGATCGGAAACTGCCGTATTATAAGTACTTGCCGGAAGCCGTGCTCGAAAATGACCGCGCCAGGCTCTACTGGGACCGGGCCATCATCACAGACAGGACTATTCTTGCGAATAAGCCTGATATTGTGCTGATGGACCGGGCGCAGTTAAGGATCTTTTTGGTCGACATTACCATTCCTTATGACGAGAACCTCGTGAAAGCCGAAACAGATAAGGTGACAAAATATCTGGACCTGGCTCACGAGGTTACCGGCATGTGGGGTGGTCTGCCGACCGAAATTATTCTGTGGTCGTTTCTGCGAACGGGTTAATCCCAGTCAGCCTCCCGGGTCATCTGAGGCGACTGGGACTCCGTGACGGACCGCTCCAGGCTCAAATGCAGAAGGCGGTGCTCCTCGATACCGCCCGCATCGTCCGCCGGTTTCTTTCCTTTTCCCCCTAACCCTCGGCCGTCTGGTCTCCCCTGCCGAGGGCTTCCATCTGGTTGGGTTTTTATATATTTATGTAATTTTTATGTATTTATGTAAGTTTATCATTTTCGTTTTCAATTATATATTTATACAGCCCAACCAGATGAGAAAACTATACAAATACCCCATAATAATAATAAAATATTTATTCATTGACCAAAAGTAATAAAATATTTAAAAGTTAAACTAATACAAATATGATATTTTTGGAAGGACAATGATAGGGTTCTGACTCAGCATGTGTTGCAGAGAATCTACAACGCTGTTATTCTGTCAGCACCCATATACCTACTTAGTGAGCTAAAGTATAACAGTACGCGTATATCACTGATTATATTACAAATAGCTTTTAGTGTTAAATTATTTATTTATTCATTCAGCCGGTACAAGAACTATTTAATTAACCAGTACAAGTACATTAATGTACATTTAATTAACTTCAAACTCAACTAAATCCCCGTTAATTGCCCAACATTTTTCCGTCACGCGTTTTTATATCTCCCTAGAATGCTCCCATTGGATAAATTAAGTGACCGAGGTAGCTCAGCTGCCGGATTTCTCTGCTTCTCAGCAACCCGATTTGTTTACCTGTCGTCGGAAATAAAATCGTTAATAATTATATTTTGAGTGCTGCTTTCTTCTTAAGGATTATTTTTATAACATCTTAGATACAGCCGTAGTAGCTCAAGGGCTAAGTGCTCAACGTAAGATTGACAGTACGCGAGAAACCCGGTTTCGATGCTCGCCGGGATTAATTGAACTGTAGACTGCAATTTTAAATACTGATTTACCATGTGCTCATCAGTGAAGGCAAACGTAAATAAATATGAATGTCTGATAAATACATAATACATAAACACTCACGCCTGTCACCCAGAGGGGTAGGCAGAGACTACGGACTTCCATTTGGCGCGATCCTGACACACCTCTCTCGCCTCTTTTACATCCATATATCTACGCATACACGCTCGTCGGTTATGGGTACTCCTAATCTGGCCCATTTTTAATGTATCGCCGATTTGGTCGATAAACCTTCGTCTAGGGCGTCCCTTCCCGACCCTGCCGTTCACTTCCGCAACATAAATTTGCTTTGTCACTCTTTACTCGTTCATTCTTTCTACATGACCAAACCACCGAAGCATTCCTTTCTTAATCCTTGTCACAACGTCATCTTGCAAACCACACTTTTCTCTTATCACGCTATTTCTCACCCTGTCATTCAGATTCAGCCCTAGCATACTCCTTAAGGAATGCATTTCTACAGCATTTATTCTACTCTCATGCTTCTTCTGCCAGGCCCAACTTTCACTACCATACATTAAAGTAGGGACTAACACAGCATTATGAATTGCCATACGTGCCTTAGTTGACACATTCTGACTCCTCATAATAGCGTGTAGAGCCCCATTCAATGTGTTGTCACCGTGTCTGATAAATCTGCGGCAAATTCTTACCTGCCCCAAAACTCTTTCAGAAACGAATGGTATCTATAGCGCCTCGCAGTATGACTTATGAAGACTGTTACTTAGTTCACGTGCAACTTCGCTGCCGTGTATTGGATGCGTAAGATACTCCGCTGCCTCATCTCTTGGGTGTTGCAAGAGGCGACAGAAGGAAATAATATAGGAAATTGGGCATCAACAACTTTTTGATAACAATTCTAAGTAAATAAAAAATCTGCGTTGCCATCCCGGCTGCTAAGCGTAGCAGCTGCGGCAAATAGTTTATCCATATGGAGCAATCTATGGAGGAAGCCTATGTTCAACAGTGGAAGGACATAATGATGATGATGATAACAGTCAATTATTGAATATAAATTAATTCTTAAAGCTTCTCTTCATTCATATTAAATAATATCAACAGTTTGTTTAATTCCAAGGCCTATCCAAAGCGACGGTAGCTGGCATATATTATTCATTTGAAAGATCTGTTGAAAAAAGTTGAAAAAAGAGAAGGTTCTACATTCTTCGCATATGTTCTCTTTTATATGCTCACAGATTTCTCGGAATCGGCTAAACCGATTTGAAAGCTCCTGTTTTATTAAATAAGTTATAGTTCATAGGTGCTTTAGTTACAAACTTACAGTCCAACTTGGTAAGTGGCTACTTCGTCCAAGGACAATTTCAACTAAAGTAGGCTATAAACACCTTGTCTAATTATACAGGCTTTTATATCTTTTAGACCGAAACACACCCATCTAAAAATAAAATTGAAGTGTCTGTTTGCAATGTAAAAATAACAGTTATGTACTAAATGCATATGAAAATATATACGGCACTAATAACAACAAAAAAAAACTATTTTTAAAATTTCTGTATGTCTGTCTGTTTGTTCCGGCTAATCTCTGAAACAACTGGACCAATTTTGATAGGAATTTCACTGGCAGATTGCTGATGTTATAAGGAATAACTAAGGCTACTGTTTGCTACTTTATTTTAGAAAAAGAATTAGGGTTCCGCGCATAAAAATTAAAACCCATGAAATCAAATCGTAATAAATTCGACGCGGATGAAGTCGCGAGGAACGGCTAGTCTTATTATATAAATTTCAAGAAAAACATTCATACACCTAAAGGTGGAAAAATGGAAGTGAAGTTTTAAATTTAACGTTTTTGAAAATGTTTTTTCTCGGTGCATGTAAAATGAGCTTGACACTTTCAGGAAAAATTGGGTTATTATATATTACATAGCGTATCATACCCTTTATTTTAAATTTTAATGAATTGCAGGTAGAAATACGTAATTAACTTCTTTGAAGTGTGTTTAAATATTAAATCCTTTTTGTAGACAGACAAAAAACAAAAAGGGACTGAGTGACAAAGGTTAATGGATTCCTCGCTCAAAGCATCTTATTATGATTTCAGTGACTGCGTACGAAACATCAGTCCCTGTATTTTCTTTGGTGTTTTATGTCTTCAACTTCAGCGGACAACTCTTTTGTCATGCGAATTTCTTATACATGTGAGGAAATTATAATATTGTTAGAATAAAATCGCCATTCTGCTACTACGTTTAACAACATAAATTTGCTAAGGAAATCCATCCATCAATAACAGTCCATAAAATTTCACGGGTGAATATAGGCTTCCAAGAATTTACCACAGTTGATACGTTTGGCAGGCAGATTGGCAACCAAAGTTTATTTATTGTTACGTTGTTATCAGGAAAATGCTGTTGCTATTTTTGTCATAAATTAAGTAATAGATCGGGGAAAAAGTTTCTGCGTATTTTGTTTGTCTAAAATTGAA